TGACAACCTGAGACTCACTCTCTTGTGGAGGTGACCCAGATGGTGGCCAAGGTGGCCTAGTCAGTGGTCCCATGTAAAATATACGAGTATGTTTAAAAAACAAAATTTTGCCTTGGATTGGAAGGGACAAAATTGTTATTTTACCTGATTTGATCGTACTCTACAACTTCTAAGAAAAGAGAACAATGTTAGACGTGTTGATAAGGACACAATTTTTTTCGTGCACCTTTATTTTCATTTGAAACTTTTACCACCTTATTGTTTCTTTCTTACTGTAATATTTTGTGAAATCACGATATGTCTTTAGTAAATATATTTTCCTACAGTCACCCGACAATATGGGCTTCTTTGCAGAGATCATAGTACAAAAATTCTTACTTTGGCGCACAGTTTTTATTTTAGCGCACACCAATATACCAACCAATTCAACACAAAACAGCTTGCTTTTATTATGCACGTAATCAGTGTACGCTTGAAAATAAGTTGGCTAAACTTAAAGATATTACGACTGCGATCAGCTGGTGCAGCGTTTCCCATTTCGTTCAGTGTTTGGATTTAGCCTAACCTAAAAACGTGTTGTACATAGTTTGAAAGACTAATTATTTATATGATGTGTAGTAACTGTAGGAAAAATATAATGTGTAACACGAGTGCAAACTGCCTTTGCTGCATTCGATGAACTTTCCATGTTTACGGCTCGTGCGTAAACATTTCTTCTGTGTGTAGCAAAGTGCCACTTCGCCTACTAGTTGATTGTACAGTTGATGTTACCCACACAAATAACTATTTCTCAATAATAGGCAATGTTTTTCTTGATTCACATTTAAAAAATCGTATTAGCTTAGGATATGAATCACGGTCAAGAGTATTAGATCTTCAAAACATTGAAACATAAGCATTCGTTGTATGTGAGGAAATGCTTGGCGTTGGAATTTCGTGCAATGGATACATAGAAAAAACTGTTTGCTTTTTGCTGCCTAAAATTCCTATCTATTCTGTTATCGTTCTTTACGACATTTTTTAATTACGTTTACTTACTTCCGATATTTAGATTCACAAATCTTCAAATGTTATTAAATAAATGAAGTATAATTAACTATATATAGTTTATAGTTACAATATCAAATTAAACTTAAAAAGACTTCATTTCGTTCATGCGTAAAAAAACAACTTTACGTTCCCCGTTGATTTCTTGTGCCATTACTAATTGCTTGTCCTTGCAAAAAGAAGTAATCTACTCCTTCATTCGCCAGACAATGGACTGCAATATCAGATGGCAATAATCGATACATTGTTGGTCAGAGGAGAACAAAGCTTGCGTGCTCTGGGAAGTAGCCGCTGGCGTGTGACGTCACTGGGGCGGGATCCGGCCCGGTGGACCATAATTGGTCGCTTCTTCAGGGCAGCGTTGTGGAGGCTAACATCCAATTAGTGAAAATTGGCCAACCAGTGGGTTGAAATATACTATCGGCAAAATATTAATCACTCAAATAATTCTAGTGATCAATCTGCAAAACCGAATGAATACTTAAGGATATAACTACTGCCATCATGAGGGCGAGTCGGTGGGAGTTGACTTGAAGGCAATAATCTGAGCTAAAAATGCTGTGTTTGATCAATTTCCTCAAGTTCCTTGAATAGAACAAAGCCAACCGTCTGTACCACTGGATTTAAACAACTCTAACATCAATTGGTTACCTAACACAATTTCCTGCTTTAACAAATATACAGATTTAGTTCGTAAACGCGTGTGGTTTGTATTTGGTTTACAATCAAACCGTACGAGATACTAATGCCCCCGGGTATTCACAATCGCTAAACTTTTTCTCATAAATATGTATTGTGCGCTGTCAGTCGTGAAATTCTATAATTATCTCGTGACTTGATATTCAACTCGTGATCTCGACAAATTGGGTCACGGACCTGTCTCTGAAACTGCCAAAACACAGCATGGAAGTATTTATGTTCTTTGGCGTGAGTTTAAGGTTACACTAAAAGATGAGGTAGTGATACAAGTTATACGATATCTTCATAAAATGTTCCATTCATGTGGAATGGAATTCATTTATAATAATATAAGGTTTACATACGTGTTTTGTGCCTTAAAACGGTCTTGATGATTAGTCTTTAAAAATATATCTGGTTACATAGTTAAATTGTGAAGTTTTTGGATATGCCTGGGTGAAAACCTCGTCTCTCTCGCACCAAACAAAGTGACCACTACGCCAGGAACCAACCCGAATAACAACGACTAACAAGAAAATCCTAGTCTATCATAAACAATTTTGTAACAACTAAAAACGACCATTAGATTAATGAGGTAGGTTACTTCGTAACACAAACAACTACATAAAAATTTCCGACCACTTCTTGTTGTGTCTTAACTTTCACCATACAAAAACTCTCCTACAATTAGTAGACAGAAGACACAACCAGTTCGAGCGATGCGCCACTGCAGCACCCAGTAGTGTTACGTATCGTCTCATAACATGGCAGTGAGTCGGTTACCAATGAACCAGTTCGCTCAGTAAACGGGTCGCTTGAACCAGTTCCAATGTAGACTTCCTCATGCAGAAAGTGGTACACCTTGGGACACGCCTCCACTCTTACTCTTCTATTACTCCGTTGTCCGTTACACTGGCGATGTTTGCACGCATGCGTTGTTTGGTGATGCTCTCTACGTCATTGGTTGGCTGACAGTTGTAGTCTCTCCCCACCACCTTGACTAGAGTAGACCTACCGCGAGCAATGTTATGACTTTGACTTGTACTATCTCTGTTGACGTCTTAGTTGACACAATCACAAACAATTATGTCGCTTATTCCCTGATGAAGATGAATAGCTTAAATAATTGTGAAGAGTTCTTCATATTCACCACAGTTGCGGTATCTAGTGATGAATGGTGCCTTTTTTCCCTATAAATAAGTACTGACACGCCAATAGCCTGGGTGGCGCTTAACGAACGATAACTGTCTAATCGATGATTTTCCAGCTATGAAAGCTGACATACAATACACCAACGGCCATTGTGAGGACCAATTATAATTATATAGTCTGAATTTTAAATACATACGGCCAAATGGAAAACACTATTGAGCAAAAAATACGAATAAAATATAAACACGATTTTATTGACATGTCTTCTCATCATACATTTTTATTTAGTTTATCAGAGGACTTTTTCATACCTTAGACACAGCTGGAAGAAGGGTTGACCGTAGAAGGAGGTTCCACGACCTTCATCCTTGGATATGCAATTTAAATAGACTTACTGTGTTATAGCGTAGTTTTATTTACTTTAGCTACTGGTACATTTAGTGAGTTCTAAGTTCCAATAAGATTTCGCGAAGCCCAATAACAATCTCAATGTGGAATTTTGTAGGCCTTTATGCTTTGATGCTGAAATAGAGGGATTCAAATGGATCCCTTAATCATTTTAAATGTTACATTTGAATTTAATAGTTTGAAAGTATCTAATATTTCACTCAAATTGCAGACTAGTTGCATATTAGCTAGTGGAGAATAGCAGGGTGACACTCTACATTAAATAAGATCATACGATAAACGATTCTTTTCATAACAGTATAGATTGTTGGTTGGAGCTTGTGGTTTCCCCTCACTACAGACGTATCCCTATGTTCACTTCCTTCACAGTCCGTAGTCAAGGCCGCCACGCTCCACCTCAGCACGTCGTCCACGCTTGACTAGCTCACGTTTGCGCTGAAACTCGCCTCGGCCTCCATTTTGGAAATACAATAGTCATTGTGCTCTTGTCCAAAATCCACGGGTTATGTTGGGGCGCCGCTTATTCTGCAAGGCCGCAGGTTTCCCTAATGGTGCAATTTGCCTGCAATAATGACGTTTTGCTAAATACTAAACGCTCCGAGGTCAACAATGATGCCATCCTAATGGGGACTAATTCTTCTCTAATTATAAGTAGTAATTGTTTCCACCTCGTTACCGCAGCTGTAATATTGAAAATTACATGGAATTGAAGATTGTCTTCTCCGTTCGCTAATGTAATTGTATTGACCCTGTTTGTGTGTACTAACAATAGACTGAATACCTTAAGCATAGCACGTGGTGTAAGTGTTTTGTATTTAACTACGACTTTGTTGAATGTTGACTTAAACCATAGATTTAACATCATACAGCATAGATAGATTGTCTTTTTAAATAATCTCGTCAATACAGTTTTAACGTTTTTGGCTGTGATGATCATATTAGATCATAGTTAATTTTATATTTGTTTAATAATTACCACGAGTTAAAATGTTTTTCAAGCTACTACTGAACTCTGGTGTTAGGCTATAACTGCACAATGCATATTAAGATAGAAATAAGGGAGGAAAATTTAGACATTAACTCACTCGCCCACTTGCGATCATTAATGTTTGGAAAATTCGTCTACCCTGAAATGACGTCTCTTATATTTTAAAATGAAAAAAAAAATCGTCGTTCATTGTTTATTTCCTTCATCAGTAGACTTCTCATACCCTAGAATCAGCTAGAAGGGTTGAATCACTAATCAATATTTCATAAATTGGATTGAATTAAGACTTATACTGTACAATGATGTTGTACATATATGTTTATTAATAAATACGTTTTTAATTTTGATTCTAAAATCGTTTCTGAAATCAGTTTCTTTATTTGGTCGCCTCTGGCTATTTTGTTAAAAGTTGTGCTATCATAAATGAGAGGGATGTTAAGCCCTTTACTTTACATTCTGTAACTCGAAGGTTGGCAAGCCTTACTGTTTCGCCATGAAACATTGTTGCTATCTTTTCCTCCAGTAACGTCACACGAAAATGTAATTTTTCGGTGAATCTACGACCAAAACTCCACAACAATGTTTCTTCACTTTCCCATATCCGTATTCCGTTTCCCGACGAGTTTTAAGGCCATACAGCATCTCTAAGATTGTTGGTATTGGAATATTTGTATGCAATATATCGTTGCTTACAGATTTTCACTAATCAACTAATGTTATGTTTCAGTGTGATGGTGTCAAGATGCATACTTCACGGCGTCTTGTCGTTGTGTGTGTTGGCCAGCCTGGCCTGCGTGGCCTATGGCCTGGAGAACGGCCTGGCCAGGACGCCACCCATGGGCTGGCTGGCCTGGGAGCGCTTCCGCTGTAACACTGACTGCAAAAACGACCCGGACAACTGTATCAGGTAATATTGACTTTGGACACGAAATTAGTCAATCCACCTACTGTAAATTTATTAGCAGCAGTTTTTTTAATCAAAGGAAACGTAGTAGAGTACGCCTCTTTTAGAACTTCTCTATTATTAAATCTATCTATTTTTTATACAATATAGTTGTTGACGATATCAAACCCATACAAAGGCTTACGATAATTTGCCCGACCAGTGAGGAAAAGTGATGAAGTTGGCGTTTAAGAAAAAAATTTATATTTAAAAGCAACACATTCTTTCATTTGTTTAACTAAATTTTTCTTAGATTTGGTATGGTTAGAATTGTGTGAAAATCGTCTCAGCAAAACATTACCAAAGTAGTTTTGTTTACATATATCTAGTTTGTATGTTATTTCAGTTTAACTATTTTTAACGGCTGTCTAAAATGGAACTAGGCCTACACATGATAAAAAGTAATATTTTTTTCTTAATACAGGTCTTTACTTTGTTTTGTATGCACCAAAATTCAATTCACTATAAAAATCCGTAATAAAATAAAAAAATACTTTTCTAAAAAAAAACTTAATGGCGGCTGTACGGGTAATTTTTTAGTTTTAATTTTTTACGTGATATTCCACTTTGTCTTTGGTCCAGGAATGATACCTTTAAAAAGGTCAGTAGGGAGTTCAGGGACACCCTTTAGGCCCGATATATTTTAGAATCCTCTAGTTTGTAATTTTATTAATTAACCTTAAAGTTTATTGTTTAATTCGTTACGCCACGTAAATCTAAAAGTCAATTTATTATAGCTTTTCAATTTTTTTGTAAGTATAATAATCACACGCTCTACAGCAGAATGTTTTAGGTTCTAATATCCGTACTTTTTAATTAATACTGCGGACTGCACAACCTATAAAACAGAGATCTACATTAAATTAATTCATTGTTCTCTTATAGTTGGATTCCTGTTCTCAAACCGTCAAAAGTTTAGCGCCTGCAATATTCAAATACCACAATAGGACTGAACTGAATCACTTGTAGTATTCTTCTCTTGCAGGCGTTCTCCATATTTTAACAAATAAGTCAATCTGTTACTGTAATAGGAATAGGGTGGTCAAATATTGTAAATAGGAAGTGTTTTGGCAAAAGTGTTTGGAAAGTGTTTGACCAGGTGGATTATTAGGTATTAAAAGAACATTACAGTATATTAAGACACATTTTATGTGTAGATTTCTTAATTATCAGGGACTTTAATGGAGACAAATTTACTATTTTATTTTCCATTCAGACTTAAATTTCAAAGTACCAGAAATGAAAGACAACTGTTAAACTATTTATTGTTTTTAATGCTTTAAGAAAGGTCATATTAGAATAATTTAAAGTAAATCAATCTGAAATTATATAATGTTTTGTTATTTAATCGTTTCTGATTTGTTAGGGTAACACACTCCAAATACTTCTCTTGGTTTCAATAATATATTTTTTTATGTCGGTTGTCTTATTTTGTTTTTAAAGTGAGTTTGAGAATTTCTTTGAGCATCTTAATCGTTCTTTATAGATCATATATCGTGTTGTAAGTGAAACATTTGAGTAGGCTTCCAATTTACCTGATCCCGCTGACCAACTGTGGATAAAGCTACAAGTCGTGTCCGGAGGAGGAGAATTCATCAAACTCAATGAACACTGGAGAAAAGCAGCTGGGGGCAAGTGATTTGAAGAAGAGAACTTCAAGCTGCAGCACTGCAGCACACTTAATCAAAGTAGTAATTCATGGTTGGACTTGTATCCGGGACCTTTATATTTCTTTGTTTGAGGATCTTCAAAAGCCAAAAACACTGTTTGAATTCTTATTTGTGAAAAACACCGTTTGAATTCTCATTTGTGAATATAACATAACAAATCCTCAAAAGTCACAACAATTTCCCCAATTTTATAGAAATTTTGATCAAATATGTAGGCAAAAATTTGTTCATGAACCAGCCCAATTTGAGCATGGCAAAGGGGACCTTTTCGCTCTATGGCAAAAATCCTTAAATAAATAACATACTACTATAGCCTATCACTGAATATCATGCTTCTTAGGTTCACTGTAAATAATATGAACGTATTTCATTATGCTAAACCTGGATTCCGGTTAAGTGTCGTCCAGCTACGCGGGGGTATTATCATTGACTATAAATACTATAGTCAATGGTACAATTCTTTATTATTTGGTAGTTTAACACCATTAATCAGTACCACCTAGAGGGAATGATTCCATTACATCCCTCATTCAGTTTATGCATTTACTTGTTTATGAGATACAGAATGTCATCCTCCGTTTTTCTGTTGCAGTGATCGGTTGTTCCGTACCATGGCAGACCTGGTGGTGTCTGAAGGCTATGCTGCTGCAGGTTACCAATACATCAACGTGGATGACTGCTGGTTGGACAAACAGCGCTCATACTCCGGTCATCTGCAGCCTGATCCCGAGAGATTCCCTTTTGGCATGAAGGATCTCGCTGCTTACGTAAGTATTCTAATTGCTAATGTACTATAAATATCAGACACCCTCTCAATATTTGATAAAGATGATCCATTATTTCTTTGGTGGTTGTTGAATTATTCTATTGAGATTTTCGCAACTGTCCTAGAAATGATCCTCCTTGGATTCTTTTTGAGAAGAGACATAATACAATGCTTGTCTGGCAATTAAAAGGTTGCCAGTTAAATGCTGAGAAAATTCAGTAGTAGTTTGATAGTTTTAGAGTGGACACATAGCTATACCTGACTATTGGAATGTCAAAATAGATGACTCTCACACAAAATTCCATGACGATAACTACTAACACTAGATAGCAACACAAACCACTGACATGTGTCTACTTCTCTGTGCATAAGCACTTTTTGTAGGTGACTTACACAAACTTTAATCTAAAACCTTTTAACCTATAGATGGATAGTTTTTCCTTCAGTGGTAGTGTATATAGGAAGCAAAAACATGACGGCCTTAGCATGATAGCCTTAGTATCTTCCTGCAAGTTTCATCAGTTGGTGAGATGGAGCTGATAAAAATTCCCCAAACATACCAATCTGTGTAATTAAGTCTAAACAATAATATGTTTCTTCTGGCAGGTTCACTCCAAAGGTCTCAAGTTTGGCATCTATGAGGACTATGGTAACTTCACTTGTGCTGGTTACCCTGGTGTGCTGGGTTCTCTAGAGCAAGATGCCTACACCTTCGCAGACTGGGACGTCGACTATGTCAAGCTGGATGGCTGCTACTCTCATCCCAAGGATATGGACAGGGGTTAGCCTCTAGTTTTACTCAGCATGTTGTACAACAAGTTTTTAAGAAATACCTTTTGAATATTAACTTGAGAATGTTTTTTAACAATGGCCTAGACGCTGTTGGGTTTTCAAATTGATATAATGATTGCCTGGTTCAGTTCAATGACCAGTTCAATTTTTGAGAAAAGTCAGTAGCTTTGGATGGTTGTAAACTGGACTCAACTGTCCTTGAGGTGGGGGGACCGCTGATCTTTGTCAGTAACAACACTATATGAGGCATTTTATTTGTACAACACTTATGTCTTCCATTCATTTTTGTGTTAAAATACGCCTAAGCTGTGTCACCATATCGTAAAGAAATATGAGTGATGTTTATCAGTTAAATTATGAAAAAGGCAACAGATTTTGATGGTTTGAAACTGGATCAAGCTGTCTTTGATGGTTGGGCCTTTGATTAATATGCCTGGCTAGAGAGACAGATAATCTGAGGCAGGAGCTAAGCTCCACAATCACCTCAACTATCCTGCTTGTATATTCTGTTTAAAACATCTAGCCAAGAGTCACTCAGCCACATCACTTAATAAGTGGATTAAGTGAATTTAGTACAAGGAAAAAATTATTTAGTAATACCTTTAATATGTTTTAGGTTAAAAATTAACATGTATGAGCTTTAGCGGCTGTAGGATGTTGGACAAAATATTTCTTGTTACAATATTGATTTGTAAATCCTGGATAAATTTTAATTATCATTGAAATACATATATCATTGAAATAGAATTGCTGCTATTCAAAAAGTCAATGAATGGAAATGGGTAGTGCCTTTCTTTTAGCCCTTTCTTTTGGAATAAGTTCCTAGCAATGTGCATTTTTACAGGATACCCAGAGTTTGGTTGGCATCTCAATAGGACTGGACGTCAAATGGTTTACTCTTGCAGTTGGCCTGTGTACCAGATATATGCTGGCATGCAGGTATGTGGACCAGAGATGGGCTTAGGGGAGATAACAGATAACCACACAAATAAATATCTCAAAACGTAACGTAACACACTGATATTTTGCCTTTATTTCTAGTTTTGAATTAACTGCTATTTTTCTCATTAAAATACCATTCTATATAATTATAGGTGTTGATCCTTTAGACAGCTGGGTAGACGAGTGGTTATAGTGCTTGCCTATTATTCAAAGGTCGCCGGTCCTGAGAAAAGTATGTAGCTTTTTGATGGTTTGAAACTGAACCCAGCTGTCCTTGATCAATGGTCTTTGATACCTGGATTGTGGCTAGATAAACATCTTGTCTTGTCAGTAACATAGCTACACAATCTCACTTCATTCTTCACTCATATTTGGGTTTAAAATACACACCTAGGTGGGGATCCCACCTCAAATGGAAATATGTTTAGGTTGAAATATTGTTATTATGCTTGGTTGGCAGATTGTGTATCTATTAGCCCCTAGAGTGCATTTTTTTCAAGTAAAGATTTATGAACTCCGTCACTTTTCAAATCATTTTGTAATTAACTACTTGGCTTTCCTTTAAAATTTTCCTAGATTGTTGCCTTTCCCTGCAGGCAAAAATTCAGCCAAATTGATTGGAAGAATCAATTCTCACCAAGTTATGATCCATTCCTAAAAATGTTATGCTATAAATCAAAATAAATCATAATCAGGATAATCTTTTGAATGTGTATAAGGAGGTTGTTCTTAGCTATACTGCCATTGTTGTTCCTTTTCATTCTTCCAAAATCCTTTCTGCAGGCTGACTGGACATTATAAATAAAAGTGGAGTAATATAGGATACTAGTACTAGTACTTGGTAATCTATTATGAATTTCATTTTATAAACATTAGGTGTGGTTTCTGATTACCTATTTGTGTTGGGCAAAAGTTAAAACTGAAAACCCACTGAAATAACTGAGCACAAATATTTCACTCATAGGACGTACTTGTTCCACCTCATCCTGGAGGACCCTTAGAATACCTCTACCTATGCCTAGTGTACATAAAAATCTCTATGTGAGGTCAGTCTCTATGAAATATTATAGACTGATAAAAAATGATTAACTCTGTTAAAAAAATAGTTTTACACCTGCCTCTTGGTTGGTTGCAGTTTAAAAGAATATTATTGTTTGATTATCTTTCATTCCAGAAAATGCAACTGTTGTGAAACTTACAAAAAAGCGTGTAAACTTTTAAAGCAAAGCTACTGATGTTCATTTTAACCTGTTTCAGCCAAACTTCAGCTCGATCATCTCGAACTGTAACCTGTGGCGCAACTTTGACGACATCCAAGACTCTTGGGCAAGTCTGGAGAGTATCATTGACTACTACGGCAACAACCAAGACAACATTGTCCCCAACGCAGGCCCTGGCCACTGGAACGACCCTGATATGGTAATGAGATCTTAACTTAAGAATTTTAAAATTAAATATCGTACAGTAATAACCGCGAGAGTAATAATCGCTTTTTTGTTCGGGGTGAGGGAACAAGTATAGCAGTAATTTATTCTCTAGACCTAGAAGAACAGGGAGTGTTCACATATTACATTTTCATGCAAAATACATCTAAATAAATCATAACTACACACTGCTCCAAGATATTACTACAAATTGGGAGATAGCTATTTTGAATATTAGAAATTTTTTTCCATTCTGGCGCTGTGTGTCCTGGTTAGAGGAGTGGGGGTACTTGCTCACAGGACACACAGACCAGCCCAGATAGGATTATTTCATCGTAGCATTATTTATGGCGGTGCAGGCATTAGCGAATTTCATTATAGGGAAGTAGCTATTACCATTGACTTTATATCTACATAGATATAAAGTGTAGATATAAAGTCAATGCTATTACCGTGGGTGGCACGGTAAGACCTTAGGCCAGGGACGGATTTATTTTGATGTCCCCAAACGCACAAAACACTGTTTGTTCAAATTTGTATACATGTATATGCATCTGTTATATATGTGTCCGTAAACATGATAACTTGAGTCAATTTAGTCTGATTTTGAGGTGTAATGTTCAAAATTAAAAGAGTTAGCTAACTTTAAAACATTAATCTTGTTACAGTTGATCATTGGCAACTTCGGGCTGTCGTATGAGCAGAGCAAGACACAAATGGCACTGTGGGCAATCATGGCAGCTCCACTGCTCATGTCTGTGGACCTGCGTACAATCAGACCAGAGTACAAGGCCATCCTGCAGAACAAGAAGATCATTGCTGTGGACCAAGACCCCATGGGCATCCAGGGCCGCCGCATATACAAGGTAACTTATCAAGATACTTAGTCTGGGTAATTGAATGGTTATGGTGCTCACATGAAATCTGGAAGGGTTTCAATCTGGAAGGGTTTTTAGGTTTACCCCCAAACCAGGTGTGCATCCCCAGACCCAGATGACATTCGGCATTGGTTTATTGGTCTATTTAACAAAAGATTTGCGATGTGACGTTAGATAATAGCAAGATCAGGGGATTAGACCTTTTCCTACACAACATTTTAAATTTTAATGACATAATAAGCACAAATCTTAAGAAAGCTAATAAGGGTGCCACAATGTGTTGGGACAAAAAGAGATAGAGCCCTTCTTAATTTGCATGTTTACCTTCAAATCTAAAGAATGCTACTTTGATTGCTCTATTTCATCGAAAAAAAAGGTTGAGATTTGATAGAATGGCTTGGACTAGAGCTTCCCTAACCAAGAAAAAAATATGAAAAATGCCATCAATATAAAATACACACAAAATGAAAACGCGGAATGTTTCATGTGTTCAATATTGTGTTTAAAGAAATATTAGCTTGAAATTTTTAACTTTTCTTAATAGTTGTCTTGTAATAATAACAAAAAAAAAGGTTTATTTTGTTATTGGTTCAGATATTCAATAATTTCAATTTTTAGCATAAAGGAATAGAGATCTGGGCTCGACCAATAACACCTGTCTACCAGAACTACTTCTCGTACGCAGTTGCGTTCCTGAACCGGCGCACTGATGGTACCCCCTCGGACGTAGCTGTCACACTAGCTGAGATGGGACTGGTGGCACCTGGAGGTTACAGAATAGAGGTAATGAAGATATGACTAAACAACTACCTATACTTAGATTTTTAGACTAAACTATAGGCTATTTACCTCCATTGATTGACTTGAAAATACTGAAGTACCTAGTTATTGTAGCTATCAAGGCCAATCTTTGGGCCAATTAATGAACTGCCAAAAGATTTGTGTTGATATCTAAATTACATTTCATTATAAGTTTCTGAATAAAAAAAGATTTTTTGTATAGACATGTATGGAGCTGTTATTTAAAGCTATTAATCTGTTATATTAACGTTACACTGAATTCATAATAAAACCTTCAATTGAACAATATTTTGTTTCAGGATTTGTATGAGGATGTTGACTATGGAATACTAAGCCCTCAAACAAAGATTAAAGTGAAAGTCAATCCTTCTGGTAAGTAAAAAATTGTTTTAGATCATCCAAAGTTAAGATCAAAACCTATGTATTCTCACTTTTATTCTGGTAATTTGCCTTGGGAACTAGCTGGTCAAGTGTTATAGTGGAGGGATTCGGTCCCTGAGTGACCGTGAAAGATTTTCACTATTTTGCCGTGACCATAGGAGCTGTTCACAATTCGTCTGCGTGTGCGGAAGATTTCCAGGATTTCATTTTGACTGTGGCACAGATAACAGACACGATGAACAACTAAAAAAACAATATTCCACAAACAAACAACAATAAATAAAAATAACAACGATAAACAAATAACAAACAAACAAAAAATTATAAAAATCATGTCCCCGCATCGTGGAAGATCTTTATTATTTCTCCGCGACCATCATTATTTTGTCACAATCACAAGAGGACATAATGATGTCCCCGCAAACGCGGAAGATGTCCAAAATTTCACCACGACTGCAGAGGACAATTACGATTTGGTCAAGTCAGCAAACAATATTCATATTAAATTCGGGTTTACGATTCCGCTATTGCAGTTGTCGAACAAGGCGATTCAGTAAAAAAGTCTGGTCCGGAGATCCCTAACATTATTATTTATAAAAAATAGAATTGAATTATTTGTTAGATAGTCTCCTAGGTCTATTGTCTGATCCAATTGTCAAAAATGAAAGCTCAAGTTCATCGAGTTGAAGTGAAATCACATTAACATTGTGTTAGTTAAGTTTCAAGACTGGTCTCTGGAAAAGAAGTGAAAGAAGTGTATTGAACATTGTATAGCAGACTAAAAATCTTCAAAACCGTTTCCTTCTAAGTCGACATACCACTGCCAGCGAGTTTTCCAATGTTGGAAGACTTCCTGGAACTCATCTATTGAAATATGTTTAGAATCTTTGTCGAAGCCGTTTGAACTGCTTCTATAGCCAAACCGCTTCCCTTTCAAGTCCTTCTTCATACAGGAGAACAAAAAAAAGTTGTTGATGGTGAGGTCTGTGCTATAGAGTGGCGGCGGAAGCGTTGCTCCGTTGTTTCAGGACATAATCTGGGTGAATGCGCAACTGTCACGTACCGCTGCTTCTGATCGTCCGTGAGCACTTTCGGTACAAGTTTGGCATAGACCTTTCTCATCATAAAATCTTCTAATCTCACTAACCATGTCAAACACTAAACCATGGTCCAAAGTTATTGTATCTGCAATGAGACCAATGTTCAAGAGTCAGTTACTATTCAAAACTTCAGCATTTTTGTCAGATTCCCTTGGTTTTGCGACATTGCAGGCCTTCGAGCTCGATCATCATCTTCAATATCTTTGTGGCCATCTTTAAACCGCTTGTGCCACATAAAATCCATGGCACGTAACTTTGCGTCATCCTTGTACGCCTGTTAAAGCAACTGAAGCATTTCCAAGCCATTCTTGACACAGAATGTTATGGAATAACGCTGCTCATTCAAACTCTGAGTTTACAGCACCCTTTTTAACTTAAATTTTGCAACCACGGGAAACTCAAAGACGTTTCCACTGTGATGGCTGTAGAGTCATTATTTTTTTTTGTGATTTTAACATAAAAGGCTCTGAGATAAAATGGGATAAAGAAGGCATAATTGGTTGATTTTAACAAATAAATATATGATTTTCTCTTGCTCTGGGACAATTTATATAAAAACTCCCATATATGATCTCATTTGCAGCCCTGTCCCCTAGAACAAAGCGACCATTATGATCAAAAAACTGATTTATTTGCAGTCTGAGACTAACTATCAAAATTTGTTTCTGAAATACTCATTAAAATAAGAGCACGTTGGCACATTTTAGTTTCACTAGAAAAAATGAATTATGAAATTTATCTATTAATCAAAGCTAATATTAAAATTTTCCACAGGTGTAGTGATACTACGAGCTGATGTCCAGCCAATCTACAGACAAACAACTCCTTATGATCCTTTCAGGAATGTGTTTGCTGTTCCTACCAGAGTACCTAATTCGTTCAAGTGACAGGGGACACATTAGTCATACCAGTAAGTGAATCTATGAACTATAATGATCTATTCAGTGGTTTAGTCATGACTACTCTAACAAGATCCTACATCTTCTGGATAAAAAACATTCAGAATATTTTATTTTAAAACAAGTTTTTAATGGGAAAATCTAGCAGAAAGCATGATTTGTGGTGCAACTCACATGGATCCATCCATCCTGTCCAGTACCTACTGTAGTGGGGTGAGATCAATTGGGGGGAACGACATTCTCTCTCATCAGCTTTTTTCTAAACTCTATATTTTAATAGGCGACCTATATGTTTTTTTTTCTCTGAGATAATGGTAAGCCTGACCTGACCTGGCTGGAGAGACAATGCCTAAGACTGACAGGTTATCAATTAGTAACTGTCTACCAGAAATGCAAGAAAAAGAAATATTGAAATACGCAACATTTGTATTTTTGGAAATTTAACTAAAAAATTGTTTAAATCTTAACAGAATAGCAGCTAGCTTACTTTAGAAGAAGTACAGGTACAAAAACATATAGGTCGCCTATTAAAATAAACAACACAGGAAAAGATACAAAATACACACAATATTTCGTCCCCGAACTCTCATCCTCCCTTTATCCACAATAAAAAAATCCTGACCAAGAGCATTTCCTTGAAATAAAGCTTAAAAGAGTAATTTCGCCAGAGATAGAGGTTCCACAATAACTTGTTTCATGTATCCACAGTTTTGTTCCGCCTCAAATAAATTGGTATAAAACTTCATTACAGTTCTGAAAGTTTGAATTTCATTTTCAAAAATATTTTCAGATAACTCGATTATAAGTTTATTGTTGTTTCAGAGTTTGGATCTTCACCCTGCAGAACACTGACAAAGATCAACCCTGGCTGTGAACTATCTGCTTGAGGTCTAGCAGTTTAAGATCAAGTCCTACGTTGAAGGATTGCTACTGTTTAAGTGGAACAGTTACGGAAGTGATTAGACAATTTCACCATCCACTCTCTTTTGTGTTGACATAAAACTGTATTCATAAAAATAGATTTTGACAAAGAACTTTCAACATTAAAATTAACATATTTATATATCGAGATACTGTTTTAAGTGTTGATCTCTCTGTCTTCATAGGAATACAAAATCAATATTTTTTATACATACCTGTGTTATGTTTTATAGTGAAGTAGTTTAAGCTATTTAGAAGTAAACGGCCATGGCCAAAATATTGTTAATTTTGTTACTGTAAAGTTTTAAATGATTTAAAATGTATTGGCCATATATTTGTTTCATACCAGTTAATAGCCCTTAAATTTTAAATATCTAAATATTGTCAGCGCTTTCAAAGCAATTCTGTGATACAATCCATTTCATTTTGCTTTTTTCCACCAATTAATATTTTTACTCCAGCGCCATATTTTTCAGTTAAGTTGTTTGTTTTTAATTTTGTGTCAGTATTATTATCTGTACCACATTAAGCTGTAGGAACTAAGAACAATATTTTTAATCATTTCTTAGCACTATTTTATTTGTAAATTTAATTTTTAAATTTGGATTATTATGAAATGACAAAGTATTATACTAAAGAAAAATGTTGCAATATTTACCATCTTGCAACAAACTATACCAATTTTTTAAATATTTTTTTTTTAAATAAAATACATAAGATGTCTTACTAGCTAAATGTGTTTTTTTCAGTTCTAGACTATTTGTAAATATTTATAGTAAAATAAGTACAAAACCGAAATTGTATTAAAATCTATTTACCCCTGAATCTCTTACAATTAGCGTATTTATGAAATATTACACAAAACCAAAGGACGTGGCAACTGAGTGGGTCCTTGTAGAAACCATTTCCTTGAGGGTTCAATATAAAACTGGATCACTATTCCTGGCTCTTCCTGATCCCACAAATTCTCTAAACAGTATTTCAGTCATCGTTTGGTGATTCTCTTTTCTGGAACCTCCATATCTTCTCCCTGAGTTAAACAACAGAAATACCCTCACTTAAATGAACAGAGCTGGTGTTAATTTATTTGTAATTTTTTTATTTGAGTGAAACCTCCTTTTTGCCTGGACTAATCATTTTTTTTCATCTGAGGAGTTAACATATAACTGGGATTAGGGAATTAGGGACAAGAAATGAGATTGAGAAAGCAATGGTGTTATATTACACTGATACTGATACTCCCCTCTCCTCTCAAAACACTTCACATTTTGCTTTGTGCTTCAACTGGAAAAGAAAGAAGAGGGGGGCTACAGCTGATTCAGTTAAATGGCCTTGAGACTAACAGCTGATTGGTGAGTCAGTTCCAGCTGTGACAACAAACAAAGGACAGCAGCAAGTAGTTGTAGTTTTGAAGTGGGATCTTCTGTTTGTATATAGAATCAGTGTTTTTGTTAATTTTTGCCATTTATGACACAAGGAATTAAAATATTAAAGGTATGGTTACAAAGATAAATATTAGTAAACATATCAACATTTTCAAATATTTAAGCTCAATTAGTTAGACATCAGTAGTTTTAAATCAGTTGAGAAAATTAATAAGATACTCCATTAACGTAAAAATATTAGTCCAATATATAAAATCGGAAAACAAAAAAATGGGTACATTCCATTTAAACTCTAATCTGGATGTTAAATATTAATGAAATCACTGAACAGTATTTGAATATTTTTTAGTATATTTTGTTGTCATTTGACTAAATGGTTTTAGCCCTGAGTAAATAAAAATAAACTTTTTTTATGGACTTCAAGTTTTGTAATATCGGTTTCAATGTGGTTGTATCAATAGTTCAACACCGAATGTTCAGAGTTGTTTAATTTTAAATTACGATTTTTGATTTAGGAAAATTAGTTCACAGTTAATCATACTGTTGCAGAATTTACAGAATAACTAATACCATTGACTATATATAAGTATGTATAGTCAATGCTAATACATATAACTGGAGCGAACTGTGGACGTACCTATAACTGTGTTGATGTAATCAAAATCCAAGAAATAAATTACAATTGTTAAAAGAAAAGTTGCTTGATTTAACAACTTATGGTCTTTACAACAACTTGGTTTACTCTTTATGGTCTCTAAAGATTTGATTCCTAAGCTTTGAATAGAACTACTCTCTTTGATTAGTGTGATTATAGTAAAACATGACTAAAAACATAGAGAGTACTAAAGTCAAAATACTCTCCTAGCTTCATATTAGCGCTATGCACTCAATGACAGTTTTCATAAGTTTTTAGCCCAAAGTAAGGGAGTTCATGTACTTTAAATAAAAAAAAAAAAAAAAAACAATAACAAGCTGTTATTAGATGAGGAATAAGAGATTGAAGGGGCAATTGAATTTATTGTGTTAGATGAATTAACCTGATAATCCATAAACTTACTAGCCATTAAGTACTAGCTTTTAAGAAAATAATTACACTATTCAACAGACAATTATAACTACCCAAGTAATACTAAAAATATCTTGAAATACCAGTACTGTACTGTTACTCACCGCAGTTCGTAATAAACTGTTTAAAAGAGGAGTCACTAACTTACAAATCATTAACTGCAAATTTCAAAAGAGTCATAGAGAAGTAAGATACAGAGCATACATTCAATGGTAGCACCAGTTGCTGGCGTCAAGAGCAAATTCTATTTGTCATCCCCTTCCTCTCTTCTTTCCCCTCTCGCCATCACGTACTACAGCACCGACGCTGTAGAAAGACCCTGTGCGCTACAACTGCTGTACAAATAATATGCTATGTGAATGTGGCCATTGCGGTTCAGGCTTTTCCTATCTCGCTACTAGTACATTTCCATACCCGGGCTAAAAGCAAACGATCTAAAAGATCAAAAGACTAAAGGATCCCATAAGCTTCTTCCCTCTGTGAAAGAGTATAGGATAGTAACTTGACATATTTCATGCTATTTCTTTTAGAGGAGGTTATGAAGTGTCTGTGTGATAGTTCTAACCTAAAAAGACCACATACTTGATAAAAATCAGAAAAGGATTAACTAACTGTTTATATTAATTTTAATTTATAAAAACTTTGTCAGTTCTCTAAAGAAAAATAAGTTGATGGCTACACGATATGACTCAAGTCACCCGATCCAACTTATTTGACCTCAAAACATTTTCAGGTGCGGCCATGGCTCCAAATTACAGACTAATTCAATATCTGTTTATTATTGTGCTTTGTCTACAAAAGAACCAAATAGTTGGATCATCACACGATGTCAACAATAAAAGCAAATCACACATTAGATACTTTATCGACCAATATTTTATCAACAATTCCAGAGCAAAAATGATTACCAATATTGAAGTTGAAGCTGATGATTTTATCAAACAGATTAGAGAGATTACAAACACAATACCAGAAACTAACAATATCTATGACCTCACTCAAGCTGCTAGTGTGGGAATCACTTACAACAAGTTTCAACAGTTTTGGAATGATGAATTATCTCAGGCTTATACATTGAAACAAACTCTCAAGAATGTGGAAAAACTATTAGATAAAGGAAGACAGAAAAGGTTAAAGAAACTTGCAAATCAAGCTTTTACATTTGGCAATCCGGTAAGTAAATAATATTCTTGCTGAAATCTATACTTCAGTACAATAAGTTCATCATACATGCAAAAAATGAAACTTTCTCCTGGCATTTGGGTCATCAAACTTAGCACAGTTTGACTTCTAAATTGCATAACTTATTTTTTTTTAAATGACATTATATTGTAGACACTTTTCACTACACCTACCTCACATTGATCAAGTCTGGAAAAACACTTTAAAAGTTAAATCTATGATCTGAATAGTTTTGACTTTGACACATCTTCTTACATGATGTTGTTTGTTCAGTCTTACTTTCTAATACATCAAGAAGAATATTTATGTTAGCTTTGATCATTATGCTTTTTATGCAGAGGCGGCCAAGGCGAACATTAAGGCTACATTAAGGCAAACAAGGTGGTGCCTGGGGTCCCACACTTTTCAGGGGTCCTACACAGCTGTATTTCAGGTATTAAGAGAGGGCCGCTATTGAACTTCGCCTTGGGCCCCGCAATCTCTAGGGCCGCCACTGTTTTTATGCTCCATTCTGGTTGAACCCTCTGGGCTAGCTCAATGTTATTTAACTTTTTTTTTTTAAATCCCATTCTAAATAATGTTTCAGTTTCAAGGGTGTTCAAAGGATCCCTACCCATCTTCGGGATCTAAGTAAGTATATATGCTTAGACTATAAATACACTTTTTTGAAGTAGACATTTTTCTTGTTTCTAAAGCTAAAACAAAATAAAAACTGTTAATGATGCTTAAAAAATCTAACTAATTAACTCCTTTAGTAAAACAAATATTTAATTTATTTTAACTTGTGTTCAATGACGCTAGTGGTATTCTGTTTTAGGAAATCTTCTGACCTAACATTGGTTAGGAATTAACTGTATTTGTGAATACTTTAATACTTTACTTTAATACTTTCTTATTAAATGGCGACCATACAAAGTAGGTATTTTAAGCCAAGTATGAATGGAGATGAGCGTAGGATGAGTGGCGCGATCTTGTAGTCTTGTTAGTGACTAAGGCCGACATTCCTTAGACACAGCTGTTAATTAATAGCCCTTACAGCTAATGGCAACTAAGGGACCTACAGTTTTTAAAATGTCTTTGGAAATCTATCTAAATTCAACAGAATTTTGCTTGTAGAAACCATTAAAACCCAGTTAGCTATCAGCTGATGTCAACTGGTGTAAACTATCAACTGTCATCAGCTGATGTCAACTGATGCAACTGTCATCAGCTGATGTCAACTGATATCAACTGGGCCAAATATCATTTGATATAAACTGATATTTTCACTATAAGGATCCCATTACCATGGAAAAAATAAAGTTCGCTTGTAGAGCAAATTGCGCCACTGAATAAAGCCATGATAAATTGATTGGGCAACTTAATGTGAATATAGATCATCAGATAAATTATTTTTGATTCAGTACCTCAAAATAATTCTACCTTTGCAAGCAAGAGCCCAAATTTCAATAGTATCAAAATTTACATGACCTAGCTTAGAAAATGTTCCCAATGAGTGTAATATGTATATCCTATGGATTATATGACAGAGGTAAATACCACAACAGTTTTTAAAACTTAATTTTTTGTACCCACTAATCACTTAATTACCATGATTTTGTCTAGTGATCCTTAACCTTCCAATAAGAGTGTAGATGATGATTATTTTGGAGACTATGATGCCTTCTTCAGATCCTGGTCAAGAGGAGGAAGCTTCTCTCATGTTGTGGTTGTCAAAACATTTAACATGGATCTAAAGAAGGTTAAATCTAGTTGACGGAACAATAGCCATCCACCCTCAGAAGAGGTTATAAGGAATCACTATAAAATCAAGCTAAATTAACTTGTCGTTTAAAGTTCTTGAGCATAGAAACCTGTTAAACACCACTTTTCAACACTAATAATAACTGTAATTTCCTCATTTCAATCCAGGACTATAAAGACATTTAAAGTCAACTTGGATGCAGAGCCAGAAGAAAGATGGAAGGAAGTGGTACAACAGAACAGTGCGCAGGTAGGTTCGAATAGGATAAAATTGTTTTGTAAACAAAGAATTTCTTCAGAGTTTCCTTTAGATATAGTTCAAAAGCTCAATATTTGTAAACACTTTCGGCAATCACAAGAATAAAAGTTCACTTTAAAATTAAATCCTTTAGCAAAATGTAATGCACTCAATTATTTTAGGCCCCCTCCTAAGAGGGAAGAGATCCCAAGATGGACACCCTCAGCTGTCAGCTGTGAAGTGAAGGACATAGAGTCTTATGTAACACAAAGTAAAAAATCAAAATAAAATAAAGTAAAATAAAATAAAATACACTGTTCTTCCCCATGATTCAATCAACCGCTATATTTCAGATCAAGAAGCTAGCAGATTTCTTCGAGCAGAAGCTGGGTCCGAATGTGATGAGTGTAATTGACACCTCCTTGATCTGGTTGCACAGAAGTCTCCCGTCAGAGTACTACCGGGAACTGAACGGTCTATCTCTAGCCTCGGGCATCAGTGTGGCTCGGGTCACTCTCTACAACGTCTTCTATGAGTTCTTCACATTCTGCACCTCCATTGTGATGGAGGCTGAGAACGGGAACATGTATCACGGAAGAAATTTGGACTTTGGACTATTCATGGGGTAGGAGTTAGTTCATTGGATTTATATGATGATTGTACACTAGGGTGCATATTTTAAGGTGAAGATCAGTCTTGAATGAGTCTTGAATCTTGAATGAATGACATGATGACGTTACTGAGTAATACTAACTTAGTATATCACTGTTATGTAATAGTGGGGACACAGCTTAGGTGTTTTAACCAAATCAAGCTGGATACCTTCTTGGATATAGTGCTCACCCAATGATCAGAAAGGTATCAGTATGACCCTGAGAGATGTATGTTTTAATGGCTCGAAACTGATGGACCCAGCTGTCCTTTGGGTTTCAATAAATGGTTCTCTGGTTAAAGAACTGGCTGATCTTAACCAGTAACAAAGTAATTTATTTAATTCATTGAACAATCATTCTTCATTTACTTTTGCTATAAAATACACTTTCTAGCAATTTTCTTTGTCATATATATATCTAATTTTTACCCTTGCTCTGACTGTAGGATTGCTTAAGAATTATTTTCTGGCACCAATTGAATTTTTTAAATTTTAAGTTGGTTAAATAAAATTGAGAGTCTAAAACATATTATGACATAAAATATTAGTCGTCATTGGTAATACACTCTTGCGCATTTTGCAGCCAATTACAACCATATGTGTAACACTCATTACAATCCAGGTTGAAAAATTCACTCTATAATCTTCCAAATATTATTGTGTAACCTTAACAAGATGCATCATCAGGATTTGCAATGGTATGCTAAAATAGTAAAGAAATAATTGTTTACCACAAAAAATGCCCACCAGCGAGCCTCAACAGCTAAACTAAAAAATAATCCAATTTCAGGTGGGATGCAAATAATCACACGTGGTTCATAACTGAAATCCTCCGCCCCTTGATCATCAAGATAGACTTTGTCAAGAATGGCAAGCCACTTTACTCTGCTGTGACTTATGCTGGATATACTGGCATCTTAACTGGGGTGAAAAAGGTTTGAGAAACAATGATTGATTTAGTGTTATTGAACTGTTTCTGCTTATGCCAATTTACTCGGCCTCTAAATGTCGAAGTTTATTTTTTTATACATCAGTGAACGCTTTCAATAGCTACGAAACCAAACATGTGTCTATGAGTCAATAAGAGTCGTTTGTTTTTTGTTGTAGTTTAAATGCACTCAAACAAAAAAGTGTAAATCAAAATCGGTGCATGGCACTGTTGCATATAATAACTATTGGACTATGTTTATTATATTTAGTACTCTTTGACTTCCTTATGAGAATTCAAATGTTTTTGTTTTACATATGGTTTTCTGTTGTTCATTAATTGTTCTGTAAATAAGTTTGACCATTTTAGTACATCATAAAAGTTTCTTCCAGTAAAGTATTCTTTTCATTTCATTCTATTTAACTTGTAACAATAGTATTTTATAACAGGTTATGGGTCCAGACACCCTTATATTGTGTGTTACAGGTTTTAAATAGAATAATTTATTGCTTGAGATAAAATCTTTAGTATGGAATTCGTTATGCAGAAAATGGAATTGCTGCATGGAAAAGACAACTGGGATGATTGGAAATATCTAATGCAAATTAGGCTTAAAGGTATCCCAAATGCATACGAAGCCATTTCTGGTAAAATGGAATTGCCAGAGAAACCTAAAGATGAAACACAAGCTGCAGAAATGAAAGAATACAAAATGAAGATGGATAAGTATAACAAAACACAGTCAGAGGTAATGTTTATGTTAGCATCTTCATTAAGTAAGGAAGTAAGAGCTCAGGTAAGAAACCTAGAAAAACCAGATGAGGTTTGGAAGGAGCTGCATAATCTATTTGCGGAAATAGAGTAAAATAAAGCCTATGATATATGCTCTCTGTTCTTCACCTACAAATGGGATCAACACTTGGATATGGCTGGGAACCTATCTGCAATCAAGTCTTTATGGGTAAAGCTTCAAGAAGAAATTAAGAAAATTCAAGACAAGAAAGAAGATAGTTTACCTCAGATATTGTTGATTTGCAAGATTTTTGAAATCCTACCAGCAGAATATTTCAACTTTCAGACAACTTGGTTAATGATTCACAAGGATAAAGCGAGAAACCTTGACAATCTTACAAATTGGCTGTGTACAGAAGCAAGAAAGCTGACTTCAAAGGAAAAAGAGAAAGAAGATACAGCTTTAATGGCAGTCAATAGATCTAAAGAAGCCAAAGGTAACTTAGTAGGTGTACAGAAAAACAGCAAAAACAATGATAAAAAGAAAAAGTTTCCATGCCACTATTGTCACAAGAAAGGACATTGGTTGCAAGAGTGTCATAAATGGATAGCGGATGGAAAACCTGAAAGAAAACATGAAAAGAAAAGCTTGGAAAAAGAATCCAAACAAGCAGCACTAACCATATTAAGTAATTGTGTTTTTCAAACCCAGAATACTACCGCATCACATGATTGGTACGTGGACAGTGGTGCTACCAACCATGTTACACATTGTAGGGAAATGTTTACTGACTTTGAACAATTTGGGTTACCTCATGCAGTTACAATGGCAAATGGGCAACAGACAAGTGCTATTGGTAGAGGAACAATTTGCATGGAAGCAAATTTGGATGGTATTTGGAATTCAGTAAAACTAACCAATGTATGGTATGTACCTGGTATCTTCGCAAACCTATTTTCAGTAACCGCTGCTCAAGATTTAAATGTAAATAGCCTAGTAAATTTGTATCGACATCCAAGGATTGCACTTTGTTTGATAGAAATGGTAAACCACTCATCAAAGGACATAGAAGTCAAGGTGGAGGCTTGTTTAAATTAGCAGTAAATCAGTAGACCTCATGGCTGTTATGGAAGGAGTTCCAGCTGTTAACCAGTTGCAGTTACTTCATGAACGACTAGGACATCAAAGCAAAACTCATGTACAAGAGTTTGCAAGAAGAGAACTGAACCTTAATCTCAAGCTTGACAATGAGGTATGTGAAGGATGTGCTTATGGGAAAATGCACAGGACACAATTCAGAAGCAGAGATGAACACAGAGCTTCAGTACCTGGTGAAATCGTTCACTCTGATGTTTGTGGACCTTTCTTTGAGTCGATTGGAGGTTCAAAGTACTTTGTATTGTTCAAGGATGACTTTACTCGCTACCGCAGTGTTTATTTTATGAAGACAAAATCTCAAGTTGTAGAGAAGCTGAAGCAGTTTCTTGCAGAAGTCAAAGTCACAGGCCATGTAATATGTAAGTTGAGATGTGATGGAGGAGGTGAATTTGACAATGAAAGTATTAGTCAAGTCCTTCAAGTGAATGGAATACAACAGTTGATCACAATGCCATACACACCACAACAGAATGGATCTGCAGAGAGAGAAAATCGGACCATAGTTGAATGTGCAAGGTCAATGATGCATGCTCACGGTGATCTGCCTCAAGGCTTGTGGGCCGAATTGATAAACACTGCAGCCTATATTTTGAACAGAACTGCTAAGTCATCAGTTGCCGGAAAGACTCCATATGAATCATGGTTTGGAAAAAGACCTACGATAAAACATTTAACCAGGAGATCGACAACAGGACTACTGACTCTGTACGCAGGTGGAGCGATATCATGGATCAGCCAACGACAGCCTTCTGTTCAACTTTCCACTACGGGAGCAGAGATAGTAGCTGCGAGTGAGGCAGCCAGGGATGCAATTTGGTTGAAGCGATTACTAAATTCATTAACTGAACTTAAAAGTACACCTGTGATCTTCGTAGACAATGAAGCTGCTATATGTCTAGCACAGAATCCAGAGCATCACAGAAGAACCAAACACATTGAAATAAAACACTTTTTCATTCGAGAATAAGTGACAGCAGGAAACCTTGAAGTGAAGAAAATTGACACAAGTGAACAACTACAGTAGCTGATTTGTTTACAAAACCTCTTCTTGGACCAACGTTGAATGTTTTAAGACAGAAAATTGGACTGGCTTAACGTTCCTATGAAGTCTCTAAAGCCTGGTTTACACGGGTAGAGTTGTTGGTAGTGTAGAGTTTATAGTAGAGCTACTTTCTTGTCCACTCTACCGATTTTAAGCAAGCGACTGTTCACACATAGTAGAGTGTTGATGATAGTTTGTGAACTGTTTGTTCCACCTCCATTCCCAAAATGAGTGTTATAAACCAGTTACAAGACAGTGTCACTCTACCAGAAACTCTACTCTGCTGCCGCGGATCTCATTTACACAAGTATAGTGTGCAGGAGAGTGACAATTTTGCTAGTGGTGGGGGAAGTAGAGTAGAGCTACTATGCCACATGTTGCTAGTAACTCTACTCTACCACCTACTATCTACTATACTAGCTACTAGGCGCCAGTGGGTGTTTACACAGGTAGAGTTACTATACTAGAAACTCTACTCTACCCACAACTCTACCCGTGTAAACCAGGCTTTAGGAAGCCTTGAGTAGGGGGGGGGGGGGTGCATATAATAACTATTGGACTATTTTTATTATATTTAGTACTCTTTGACTTCCTTATGAGAATTCAAATGTTTTTGTTTTACATATGGTTTTCTGTTGTTCATTAATTGTTCTGTAAATAAGTTTGACCATTTTAGTACATCATAAAAGTTTCTTCCAGTAAAGTATTCTTTTCATTTCATTCTATTTAACTTGTAACAATAGTATTTTATAACAGGCACAACATACTGTATGCTGCCTCCATGTAACAGATTGGACCAGGGGACAACACCTAGAGTGTTGGCTTAATTATCCTGAACAATCACTTAGCAAAAAACTGCTCTCAGAACCTAGCACCCTTTTCACTCGCTGGCTGCTTAAGCGGGGGAGTGGGAGAGGGCAGGTCAAGCAGGTACTTGCTCTTATCACTGGACACGGCCATTTCAAGAAACATCTCCACACTCTAGGAGTTGTCAATGACTATCAGGAGTGTCAACTTTGCAACTAGTCTGATGAGCCTGCAAAACACACTATTCTGGATTGCGATGACGGACTTGGGTCTAGGAGAACGGCTCTGTTTGGTTTATTGCAGCCAAGTGATGAACCAGATGCTAACATTGGGCAAAAGCTCCTGCACCTAGTCAAGGACATGTGCAGGCTTACCCGGTTAGTGGCAAGTGGGATGCACAAAATAAGCTTCGGAGACGTGCTTGGACCACGAGTCCACCTCTCCCATAATAAAATGCAATACAAAAGATTGGTTAGATTCTATATCTGGAAGTCTAAAAATAAAATTCAGGGTTTTCACAAGTTGAAGTTAAAATTAGGAATTCTTTCAAAGCCATTTGGTGACAAGTGTGAACTAACACATAATTTGGTAATGTTGGTTCCTGTCCAAGATAAAATTACCTACCAAAGCTACAGTGCTAGTAATCTATAGTGTGCCTTTTGAACGGGGAGTCAACTAAAGCATTAAGCCACTCTTTAGTAGCTCTTGTTCAAATACGTCAGAATCAAAAATTTTTATAAAAAAAGTTCAAGCTACCAGGGTTATTAAAAACATGAATGAATACGTTAAAAGCTCACATATGATGTACACATGATTACTATGGTTATTTCTGATCAAGTTTTTTAAAAGTATTTCAACTTGTATGATGGGAGTAGCTCAATCTGCCTTATAAGTGTCTGGACACCATAACTTGTGTGAGGCAGCTTAAAGTGTGAGATAGGATTAACCAAAAATATTATGCTACTTTTGGTGGCACAGACAGATACACAGATTACAGTAAACCTATCAGTGGTGATAGCCTCATTCTCATTACTGATCTTGACTCTTAAGGTATTTCTTTAGTGTCTAGAACCAATGTTTCAAGCGTATAGCAGTTCCATTAATCAACTGTACTTCATATTAGTTACTGGGAGCTATTAAGCAGTGATTAAAAGCGGATACTCGCTGTGTGTGTTTTTGGTGGCAAATGTGTTACAAAAATATCAAAAGTAAAAAGCCAAAAGGCCAGAAAATTAGATTTTTTGTTCCATTAAAGTAGGACAGGTGGTTTTATTATGTATTCTTCAGAGCTATTTTCTCAACTTACAGCTTGTGTCTGGTTTGCAGAACAGTTTCAGTCTGTCTATTGATGAGAGGTTTATGTTGGACGGAGGCTACGTAGGCTTGGCTGAGTGGATCCTGGGAATCCGGGACTCGTCATGGCTCGGTCTGCTCACTAGGCGAGTCATGGAATCTGCCTCAACATACAAGGAGGCTCAACAGATGCTGACTCACACACCTCTTGTGGCTCCTGTATACTTCATACTGGCTGGAACCTCTCAACAGGTAACTTCAGCAGAACATCCAATGTCTGGTTTCATTGTCAACTGCCATTAAAAGATCCCTCTAAAGATAAATCAAGGTTGCAAGCCATAATGTTTTGTGTTTGGTTGGCCCGTCACACAGGTCACTTTATATTGATGTAAATAGGCTGGATTAGTATGAGAATCAGCAGTCTCTACCCCTCACATAAACATAATCAGTACCACTGGCCGTGTCATGCTCTATCCATTAGCTTGACAGCTATCATGGTGACTTCTTCCCACCAGCTCATAATAGTATATTTCATCACTAGGGCATAAAGCGTGTCTCTTTTTACCCGAACTCAAGTTTCACACCTATCGTGTATTTTATATAGGTAATACACATATTTTTTGCTCATAGCAAAGCCGAGGTCAGAAAATGACACTTTTGCGTGTGTGATAAACCGTGTTTTTTGTCATATTGCATCATGAATTAACAAACTAAACTAGAAACTAAATACTTTTCATGTAAAGATAACCTCTGAAAACTACTTCCATTTCAATTCTGCTAATTGTAATTGTTGTTGTTTGTAACTTCTGAAAATTGTCAACTCTCAGGAAATGAAAACTATGAAACATTGAGTCCCGATCATTTGATACAGTTTAAACTTGCAGATAGAAAGTTACCAATCTGGCTAATGCATATTTTCTGTCAGACTCTGTTTTGTTATTCAAGCCCTTAACATAGATGTGCATTATTCTCGCATTACTTAAGGTACATTATTCAACAATATTATCTTTGTAAAGGGCAGCATAATAACCAGAGGAAGGCGAGATGCAGACGTTTGGCCGTTGGGTAGCAGACACAAACAGCAGAATGGTTCCTGGTTCCTCGTCCAGACCAACTACGACCACTGGAAAGGAACTCCTTTCTTTGACCATCGACGACAACATGCTGTACAATGTATGGATGAGATCGGCCAGCAGAAACCACTGGAAACATTGTACAGGGTTCTTTCAACCAGACCCATCCTGAACAAGGTAAGATAGTGGTTTGGTTTTGAATTTAAGTAAAACTCTCTAGTCAAAAAATTGTTTTATAAATTGACCAACAAGAAATTGAATAACTGAAAATTTAAGAGTCATCCAGAAAAAAACCTCTGTTTGTATGGGAGTACACCATCTCTACATGCAGTAGATAAGTATTCATATAACTATGTGTCAAGCGGATTGTCACTTGTTCACACATTGTGCAGTTATAACATTAGTGCCACATTATAAATTTCCATCTAGAGTGAATTGCATATTTCAAGATTTGGCAGTAAAATCACTAAAGTAGCTAAAGTTTATTGTGAATTGTGTGAGGTTTATGGCCCCACACTTAGGAGGAGCCAGGGTTTTTTAACTGAATTTTTACTGGCGAGAATTTTGTGGTCTACATGAATGCTCCAACAAAATAGCAATCAATTCAATGGGGCAGTGAAGATTCTCCAATTAAGTCAATGAAAGCATGTCTAGATTTTCAGCAACAAAGGCCATGGTTCAAGGTTAAGGTGGGATTCAAAAGGCAAATTTTAATACCTCTAAGAAGAGCAGTGCAAAATAATTGTTCAAGCATGCTGGCGTCTGGTGTTGTGTTGTTCATGACAACGCTCGGCCTCAGTCAGCTATAAAAACCAAGTGAACCTTAGAAAAAAAATCAATTGGGACAATTTTGACATTACGCGTACATCCCAAACTTGTCATTAAGAGATTTTCACTTCTTCACACATCAAGTGTTGGCTTACGTCTTAGTGGTTCAACATTGACAAAGAGATTCAAATTCAAAAGACTGTGGCTGGTCTGGTTGGTTCCGCATTCACAGTCGCCTGATGTTCTTGAAGAAGAGGGCTTGCAGCAAAGGCTGTTGTTAAAATATATGACTATTACCTGAAACGGTTTAACGATTATGAGGGAAATAAAATTGTAGTTTCAAGATTCATGTAATAAAATTGTTTTACCTTCTCTTTCTGGATGGATCTAGAAGCAATGACCAGTTGGTCTGTATCGGTTTTGCAAAATTACCATATAGGCCACACAAATAGAAAATGTGCCCTGTACAGTTTACTGCAGCAGACCATGTAACTTAAAAAAAGAAAGACGCAGCCGTTTCCTTAAATCCAAACAATAGTAAATATCTGGTCATACAGGGAGCGGCAAAATTATCAGACTCTTTGCCTCCCTGTCGAGCGAGAGAGTGGTGGAGGGTGGTGGGAATAGGGACGTTACAAAGCCAACGTGCGTACATTTTTAGTAACCATGGAGTTATAGTGGAAGTGTTTTTAAAAGTGGCAATTTCTGTGTACCTGTTCAGCAGACGATTCGATGTGGGTCAAGGAAGAAAAGTCCCAACTCGAAACACCAATTTGCTGTGGGTGGGTAACTTTAGAACTACTAGTTCAGCTTTGAAACTAAAATCAAAAGGCCATCCAGGGTCAGCCCGGATGCCAGAGAACGTCAAGAGAGTGAGGAAGACTGCGTGGTGTAGTTGAAAGTGCGGTTTGTCACTCATAATGACAATTTGGCACGTTTAAACAAACCGACGACTTGTTCTGAAAATGAGATGTGCCTTGCATAACCACTGGGCTTCAACTGTTGCATGATTGCCATTTTTTATGCATGAAAGTGCAACTCGTATCGTAATACTCTTCCACCAAGCGGCCAGATATGTGCAGGCAGAGCTGCGGCTTATTTACGTGCTGGCCGCCGAGGACTAGCTTCCACAGCTTCTCTCCACTCTCTCGATGTTCACTGGTGTCCGGGCTGATCTTGGCCTGTTGACTTTTTTCAATGCTGAACTAGTAGTTCTGAATTTACCCACCCACGGCAAAATGGTATTTTGAGTTAGGAATATTCACCTTGGATCCACATTGAAACATATACGGAACTGCTACTGAACAGCTACACAGTAAGTGCCACTTTAAATAAACACTTCCCCAAATGCACTGTGCTCTGCCATCCACAGCTGCATGACTACTAAAAATGTCCGCACATTGTCTTAGGAACGCCCCTATTTCCACCACCCTCCACCACTCACTCGCTCGACAGGGTGGCAAAGAATACTGTCAGATGATTTTGCCGCTCCCTGTACTACATTTGTTATACATGTTATACTGTTCAAATCTTCATATCTTGATACCTGACAAACAATGTTACAATGTTATGAAACTGTAATACCTCTTTATTTATTTTAATTTGTTTTGCAGGAAACTACTCTGACAGCTGTTATGGACGTAAAAGAAGGCTTACTCGAGGTTTGGGAGAGAGACTGCAAAGATCCCTGCTGGCCCTTTTAGATCCTGTGCATCATGTTCACAACAACACCATTGATTCAAACGTTTTGATGCAATGTGCCCATTCCAGTGCACTAAAGTGCCATTTGGTCCGTGTAGTTCTAATGCAAAACAGTGCTGAGGAGGCCACTGCTCCTCTAGATGCTTATAATTTGGCCCATTGTTCCTGTACGCCACCACACGATTGATTCCATAATATTCAGGTGCACCACAGTGTCATTGAATCCTTAGTTTTTACACAACTCAAAACTCAACACCATTATTCCATAGTTCCAGAGTGCAGCACAGACAAGGTTTTTCAAGGTCACGAAGAGTGTAAAAATTAAGCTGTGATAAAACTTACTGATGTTTAAAATTGAATATTTTATCAGTACCAACTAAAGTAACTAGTCTTAACACAAGCTCAAGTTTTGCGTCCAGAAAATGTGCGGTTAAATAGTTAAAAGACTCTTTTGTTCCTTGTGGTGTGCTTACACATTTTGTCACCAGTAGTGTAGTCGTAAAATGTCCTGTGTGGGACAGACTAATGTTAGCTCACTATCGTCTAAGAACTGACTAACATATAGGATTGACATATATGACTATCGGAAAAATTAGAGTTCTGATCAAAAACGCCCTTCCCACACGGTCCCGCTTCTCTACACCAGAGTTTATCACACACTACTAAACTATTGAAACTACTTAATTTGCAAAACTAATACATTGTTTCCTAAGTGTATATTATAGGTGTGTAAATACGAGGCATGTTTTTTAAGTAAGTACCGTTTTAGAATAAAACAAAAACCAGTATACTTATTGTAATATTTTTATTTTTATTTTAAAGCCAGTATCCTAATCTACTTTTCGACATAGTTTACATCAATATTAAGGCATTTATCATATTGTTCCATGAGCTTTTTCATTCTTTTCTCAAATAATTCTGCCGCCTGACTGGATAAGCACTGTGTCACACCGTTTTGACCTCCTCATCGTTGTCTCAGGGCTGACCACCAAGATGTTGCTTTAAGGAAAAGGTGGTAGGCGGTGGACGCTAGATCTGGGCTATATGGAGGGTGGTCAAGTTGTTCCCAGCTAAATGATTCGATTAGTCCTTGCACTCAATTAGTCACATGTGGACGGGCATTGTCGTGCAGCAAAATGACCCCATTGGACAACATTCCACGCCGCTTGTTTTGGATTACCCGGCACAATTTTTCCAAGGTCTTACAGTATGATATTGAGTTAATTGTGTCACCACGAGGCAAAAAATTTACCAGTTAACACCCCCTTTCTGTTCCAAAAGACAGTACACATCAATTTTTGGGCTGAACTCATTTGCTTGAACTTCAGTTTCTTTGGCGAATGTGTATGCTGCCATTCCATGGATTGTTTTTCTTATACTCTGGCGTAACATAAAGACATCCATGTTTCATCTCCTGTAACCATTTATCTTAACAAATCATCTCCTTTCTCCTAGTAGTGCTCAAGAAAAGTCAATGCACTGCCTAGACACTTGGTTTTGTGCACCTCAGTTAATATTTTCAGCAACCAGCGTAAGCACAATTTTTGGTACTTTAATTTGTTGGTCCCAAAAATATCATAAAGGTTTCTCGAAACTAAAAGAAACTCATCAGATAATGACGTGATCGTAAACCATATGTTGTCTCTATTTTTTTCATCGACTTTACGCACCAATTCATCAGCAACGATAGATGGCCAAAGGCCCAGTGCGTTGCTCATCATGAACGTTGGTGCTGCCGTCTTTAAATGCCCTTACCCACTTGCTATCACTCGTACCATTCCATCACTCACATCACTCATAATATTCTTGCCATACACTTCACTACTCTGTCGATGAATTTCAATGGCGTTCACCTTTAGCAGTTAAAATCTAATTACAGCGTGCATTTCACAGTCGGCACCAGTCTTAATAAGCGGCACCATTTTGAATGCTCGAAAACGGGTGTAAACACTGCCGATTGTTGCCGAATTTCTGGTGCAGGCTTGACAATTGATGCACATACACAGCACAAATGTCCAAAATGCCAATCACAGTGCTGGAATGGAGAAATTTAAAAACGGTACCGGTACTTACTTAAAAAAACATGCCTAGTGTATCTTAGAAGTTAGGAATTTTTTTTAGTTTTCTACTTACAACTTAACTAGCTTTAGTTCCTTAGTGTAGTATATTTCAGAGTTCTAAATTTAAATGTGTTGGATGATTGATTATCTATAATTAAGGATCGAATATAAATATATTAAAACCATAAGTGATACAATCTTCTTTATTATTTAGTTAATCAATGTTTTCATTAATTAAAATATCTGTGAGTTTGAAGAATTTCTATTGATTACTAACTAAACCTGTTCAATTGTCTCACAACATATGGAATTACCATTTGGGAGTTGGGACCATGCTTTAGTTGTGAGGGTTTTCAATATGCAAAACAAAGCTGTGAGAATGATGACTTTAAGTAACCTCATGCACACAAGGCCGCTGTAATAAATGGGCCTGGGCCAGGAGCGCAAGAGGGTTTAGGTTTGTTGGGGATGCAAAGAAGAGAAAATTCCTCCACAAGGTAGGTGGAGAGAGGCGATTCATTCACCTCCAGCCAATTCATTCTCAGCGGAATTCTCTACTTAAGGGTGCGCTCTACCTCAGCTCGGAAATCTCAGCTTGGGCTTCAGTAGCTACGTTGCGCCATTGAACAGCGCTTGCAGACGTTTAAGTTCTCTCAAATTCTTCAGTCATCTTTTAACTTTTTTTTTCTGAAGAATGTTCCTTACTCCTTAGATTCAAATATATAACTCTATTTTTTTTCCTTCTAAAAGTGTATTTGTATCTGTAAAATGCTTTAGAAAAAAGCTTATTTAGACGTATTTACCAGTCATTTCCCACTTAAAATTCTACTATTATCAAAAAATACAAAAAAGTACAAGCCTATAGAAATAAGAATTGAATAAATTAACATAAATATATTTTAAATTGGTTAAGAACTAAGCCGACAATTACGGAGACCATAAACCCTTACATTAGCGCGCGGCGGAGAGGTAGAGCTTAAGGTCTGATGTTTCATTCATATGGGACTTATTTGCAACAAGCCACGTAACACCACTATTGCAGTGAAAAACTTAAACATCTAAAGATGTCCTTAACTTACATTAAGGATAATTATCTGGTGTTTGCATGTAAAATGCTCAACAGATTTTCAGTTAAAGTGCACGAGCACAATTCGTCATCAACCCGCTGCAAGTAGGGATTTGCCACCTGGATTATGTTCTTTTCCCTCTGTTTTCATTCTTTAATTACCCAACCTTGCACTTATTCAGGGTGTTTTTTTAACTTGCTTCTTTAGTTATGTAAAAACACTACAATAGATAGAAATATGCGGGAATCATCTATTGATGTAGAGGCCACAATTTTTTTGAATTCATCGTCAAGTTCCCATTCACCCCCTTTCTCCCCCTACATTTAACTTAAAATTTTTAAAAGAAGGTACCCCTTGTTACATATCAAATGAAAGGGATTTCTCGGGTTTTTGAGATGTTTTTGATTGAACAAGCATTTTTCAAAGGTGTGACTAGCTAGCATGTTTGTTCAGTAAAAAACGCGTCAAAAATCTGAGAAACTTTACAAAATTTAGAAGTAGGGCGTTTTCTGAAGATGAAGGAGTGCGATTTTCGGAAAACGTCAAAGAGTGTTTTGTAAAAAATTTAATTCCTGGCCATGAAAATTCTATAAAATCCTTTCTAGCTCTTACCATTTTCAAGCTATAGCCGTTTGTTTTTTTTTACGTGTTTTGTCTGAAGAAAATGGGGGAAATTAAAATTTTGAACTGCCATTACTTTTGATAGGATTGGCGTAGAGACCTCTAATTTGCGCCACTCTTCTTTTTTGATGCCCTTTCATTTGACACAAGAGGTACCTTACTATTTACAAATTTTAAGTTAAAGGTAGGGGGGAAAGGGCCGAAAGGGGGGAATGGGAACTAAACGTTGAATTCACAACAATTGTGGCCCCTCTACGTCAATAGATGATTCCACCCGCAAACTGCATATTTCTATCTATTGTAGTTTTTACATAACTAAAGAAGCAAGCTTAAAAATAACACCCTGTATAACACCCATGCACAGTTTTTAAGGCTGCATCAGGGTTTTAAGTGTTGTAAATATTGTATGTGTTAACTTAAACTAGTGAATGCAAAGTATGAAAACATTGTGACAAGATCTACCCAGATAATGTAATGATGGATTGCTGTCTGTATAAAGTTATTGAAAGGCCATAGCTTCTCCTACTATGTAGATGTTTTGTTTATGTAAAAGTAAAGATCCGTAATTTTTTTATTAAATCCTTCTTATTTTCTAACACAAACAAGAGCTATAGTCATTATTACGACCTTTCTTTGTTACAAATAATCTCAAATAAAAATGTAATAAAATAATAAAAATACTTGAATTACACTATTTAGCTTTTACTGCTAGAGTGTTCTCCAGCCATATGCCATAGCAAGTAGTTCTGCTCTTTGCTGCTAGAATGTGCTGTCGCTCTGTGTGTATCCGTCTGGTTATTGTACAGTTTAAACAAATCTTTGTTGTAGATATTGTTTAAGTTTAAGAGCAATTCGCTATTTTTATGATTGTGTATATAATCTAATAGTTTACAATGGGTGAAAATGAATAAAAAATTTACTAAAAAGGTTTATCTAATTAATTGTACTTGTTATATTTTGTAGTAAATCTTTAAAGAGTCAAGTAAGAACTGTCAGAGTTTACTAAAATTAGTAAAATACAAAATTAAATCGCTAATCAAACACATTCAGTCAGTACAACTACAATCACACTACAATTCCATAAATTTATTTTTAAAATTCAAGTATTACTTGACCAATTAACATGTTTTCCTATAAATCAACTTTAAGACTTAATATCTGAACATAAAGGGGATATGTGTAGCTATGCAATTTATATATTAAAAACAAACTAAAAATAAAATGGAATTAACAATTAACCTTTTTAACTATTTTAAAACAGCTAAAAAAATAAAAACATTTTCAAATAAATTGTTTGAAAACTTGTTCTCAAACTTTAAGGGGTGCAATGGCACCTGTAAATCGCCCTTGGAAAGTGTTCATACCTACAATCAATAGGTCACAGGTTTGATTAAGTACCTGGGGACCGAGCTTTGCTCGGGGAAAATCATTAGTTTACTCTGAAAGCAGTTTCAGTATTGCAGATACAAAAATCCATTCCAAAACTCCACACTGCTCGCCTTTACTTATTCCTTCAGCACTCCCTACGTCGTGGACCTGTTTTTCTCTCTTCCCATTGCATGTTAGGATTGCAGATACATTAATGTAATTGCCACAGACAGTTCCCACACTCTGCACTGCTAGCCTTACTACTTCCTTCACCACTTCCTACGAAGCGGAGCTGTTTTCCTCCCTTCCCATTGCATTTAAAGATTGCAGATACCTTAATCTAAACATCATAAACAATTCTCCACTCCGGACAGCACGGCTTGACTACTTCCTTCAACACTTCCTACGTCACAGACCTGTTTCCCTCCCTTCTCATAGCATTTTAGGATTTGAAATACCTAAATCTAATCGTCAGAAACAGTTCCCCCTTCCCTCCCCATAGCATTTTAGGATTCCAGATACCTTAATCTAATCGTCATAAACAGTTCCCACACTCCGGACAGCTCACCTTGACTACTTCCTTTACCAATTGCTACGTCTCAGATCTGTTTCCCTCCCTTCCCATAGCATTTTAGGAATGCTAATACCTTAATTTAATTTTTCTAATCGTCATAAACAGTTCCCACACTCCGGATAGCTCGCCTTGACTACTTCCATCACCACTTCCTACGTCGCGGACCTGATTTCCTCCCTTCCCATAGCATTTTAGGATTGGAAATACATTAATCTAATCGTCATAAACAGTTCCCACACTCCGGACAGCTCACCTTGACTACTTCCTTCACCACTTCCTACGTCGCGGACCTGTTTTCCTGCCTTCCCATAGTATTTTAGGATTGCAGATACCTTAATCTAATCGTCATAAACAGTTCCCACACTCCGGACAGCTCGCCTTTACTACTTCCTTCACCACTTTCTACGTCGCGGACCTGTTTCCCTCCCTTCCCATAGCATTTTAGGATTGCCAATACCCTTATCTAATCGTCATAAACAGTTCCCACACTCCGGACTACTCGCCTTGACTACTTTCTTCACCACTTCCTACGTCACGGACCTGTTTCCCTCCCTTCCCATAGTATTTTAGGATTGCAGATACCCTAATCTTATTGTCATAAACAGTTCCCACACTCCGGACTGCTCGCCTTTACCACTTCCTTCCTTGCTAAGTCACGGACAAGTTTCCCTCCCTTCCCATAGCATTTTATGATTGCAAATACCTTAATCTTGTCGTCATAAACAGATCCCACACTCCAGGCATCTCTCCTTTACTACTTCCTTCACCACTTCCTACGTCGTGGATCTGTTTCCTTCCCTTCCCATAGCATTTTAGGATTGCAGACCTTAATCTAATCGTCATAAACAGATCCCACACTTCCCTATACTTCGCACTGCTAGCCTTTACTAGGCCTACAATGTATCGAGTAATCTTCAGTATAATCTTTGCTCAATAGTAACAAGTGATGTTTTTCCTTTTGTACTGTGTATTTGTAATTTGCTAGTATACTGTGGGTTGGCTTATTATGATCACATGCTACAACTTCAAGTCTTTGTTTACTTTTTCCTTGTTATTTCATTCAACCAACATGGTTACTTAGCAACCCATAAGACTAATGTAAAAAAAATGTGACTTTCAGTTTCATTTTTCTACGTTATTAGATTTTTGTTGGCAGTTCTAACTGTAGTAAACTCGTTTTTAGGCCAAAAATTATCTATTTACAACATTTGAAGAAAATCGTCGGAGCCGTTTTCGAGATCTTGGTACAAGCAAGCAAGCATACATACATACAAGCAAACATTGCTCGTATTAGAGTATAGGAGTACCTGGGGACCGAGCTTTGCTCGGGGAAAATTATTAGTTTACTCTGAAAAGTATTGCAAATACATTAATCCACTCCCAATCTCCACACTGCTCACCTTCACTACTTACTTACTTCACCACTCCCTACGTCGTGGACCTGTTTGCCCTCCATCCCTATACCATTTCAGAATTGAAGATACATAAATGCCACAGACAGTTCCCACACTCTGCACTGCTAGCATTACTACTTCCTACACCATTTCCTACGTCATGGAAATGATTTCCTCCCTTCTCGTAGTATTTTAGGATTGTAGATACCTTAATGTAAT